CAATTTGGAGCAGGTGCCAGGATTCCGGCCATGCTCTAGTGCGCGCACGCTTGACACTCACTCTTCCCACTTCAAAGAAGCGCCTATCTTCTAACCTTACCTGTAAGTTGAACTCGCAGCCTGCGGTTCAACGATATCATAACGAACTGGTCCACCAATTGTCGGTGATGAATGAGGTTGGTGAGCTGAACGCTGAGATCGTCCCTAGTGTGTCATGTAGAATGCTACTGATGCTTGCTGTACACTCAACCTGTAACGTCATAACTGTGAATGGATCTCTGAGGCATTGATCAGTCCGAAGTACGGAAACATGTTCCAACGGGCATTGAGTTTAGGCGTGTCCGTAACTCTCTGAAACGACGTCTGACAAGGAGTCTTCGAATTGACCTGGAACGTTGGTGGATGGCAAAGGCCCGTGAGATGGAGAAAGCCAGTGCTACTAAGAACAGCCGAGTACTGTTTAACCACATTTGGAACACGGGTACATGAAGGCCAACAGTTAGTGAGATACTAGCTAAAAAGATGGACAGCTGATCCATTCTCAGGCTCGTCGACTAGCCCGTTGGACGAAAGATTTTGAAGAGCAATTCAGCAGGCTTGGTGCGCCGAATCACCTACGCCGATGTGCGAAGTTGATATCACACTTCCCACTTTGGAAGAGATTCAACATGAGCTTACCGTGTTGAAATGAAACGAAGTTACTGGCCCTGACAACCTTTATACATCTTTGCTGAAAATTGGAGGTGACTCTTTGCTGACTGAACTTAACGCTCTTTTCAGCACTGAGGTGAGGCCCTCAGAGTGACGACTGTCATGCCCGTCTCCAAGGAGGGTCAACGGATTTTATGGGAAAATCATCGGAGTATAAGACTTTTTTCCAATGTATTCTATCCTCGTCATCATCCCCATCATCCACGTTAGCTAGAGGTGGAAAACACCTCAGCTATTGGTATCACAATACATAAGAAAAGAAGAAACATACAACAGATGTTCGCCAGCTGAGTCGCCAGTGACGGATGGGCATCGTTCCGGAAAGCCACCAGTCGGTATTGTGCCGAAAAAATTATGCAAAATTTATAATACTAGAAAATGTGATCGTGGTTGGAGGGGAAAGGACAAAGAAACTCACAACACAAAAGCCACTGAGGTCGGATCTTAGCCATGTCAGTAAGTGTATCCAGCCAAACGTGTTAATCATCCTTCGGACCCCAACCAGGGAGCCGAGAGTCTCCAACCGAGGACAAGTTCGAATTAAGGGCCTTCATTCCTATTGACCAAGTCTCCGCTTGGCCACCTCTCCTCTGTCTACACCCACACCCCCAGCGCGCAAACGAATGCCGCAGGAGTCGGTGCGCTGGCATGCGCAATACGTGGCCCAGCCATCGGAGCCTGGTGCGTGATATAATTGTGCTGAGCAGTTCATTTGCTGTTTCTGTGCCATAAACAAGGTACCGAATAAGCTCATTGCTCACCCGGCGTTTCCACCAAACTGCGGAGGCACCGGTGGTCGAACCTAACTAGCATCATTATGTCTGCTGATCTAAGGGGCCAGGTTTCACAACCGTACAGTACAGTTGCATTGTAAACTCTGCTCTTCAGGGAGCGAGTGATGTCGCGCCGGCGCCATAGGCGGCGAAAGTTAGCAAAAGCGCCTCGAGCTTTTGCTATACGGTTCGTGACCTCGTCTTCGATTCCACAGGCGCTGACACAACTGCCTAGGGAGCTGAATTTCGGAACAACCACTAGCTGACCCCCACCAACGGTCAGCGCAGTAAGCAGTTCCTGCCAATCTTGGAGGAAAGCTTTGCACTTAGAGGAAGCAAAGCATAGCCCGAAACGGCTGACAGCCAGTGTTAATCTGCCTAGTGCCGCTTGGCATGTTTGTGAGCTGTCATCGATAAGGGCAATGTCGTCAGCATACTCCAAGTCAATAAGTGGTTCTCCTGGGAGTAGCCCCATACTTTCTAAGTCGTGTCCTGTAAATGCAATCTCTATGACTTCGTCAATAGTGAAGTTGAAGAGGAAAGGTGACAGCGGACATCCTTGTCTTATACCGCTGGATATATTGAAGGGCGGCGACAGGTTGTCGTAAACCTTCACTCTGCCCGAGCTGAGCGAGTAAAGCGCTCGGATAATGCTTACATTTTCACGGGCACATCTTACCGGAGTAGACAGTCCCAAAGGGCACATCGATCAACCGAATCGAAGGCACCTTTGATGTCGAGAAACACGACTACAGTGGCTAGCCGATAAATATGGTGGTGCTCCAACAATTGACGCAAAGTGAAGATGTGGTCGATGCAGCACAGACCTCGACGAAATCCGAGCTAATCTACACGAATCTGACTTTCACGACCGGCGGTCAGTCTGTGAAGAATGACAGAGACAAGCAATTTGGAGGCGATGGATATCAGACTGATTTCCATATGGCTGCCGCATTCCGAACGGGAGTCTCCCTTAAAAGATTGGCACTATGACGGTTCAAGTCGGTTTGGACAGTTTTCTGCTCTCACGGTTTCATTAGTAACTCGTGTAAGCCATCAACAAGAGCAGGTCCCTTGAATTTGAAGAAGGTTAGATGAAGATCCTGTGGTCCCGCGGCCTTAATCTACTTCAGCAGTCCGATCTCACGTTCGACTTCTGAGCGGGAGGGCGGATTCAAAGGGACAACCCAGGGAGCAGGGCGATCACTGGCCAGTGAGGAGTCCAATAATTCCGGAAGAATAAATTGTCTTTCAAAATGCTCAGCGCAACGCTCCAAGCGTTTTAACTAGTTGTGGATAGGCTGTGCACTCTCGTCACATATAGTTTCACGAACGCTAGATCTCCTGTTGCCCGTTTCCCGTATCAAACGGAATAACTTATGATGATTTCTAAGAGCAGCGGCCGACGACTTATTGGTTCTAATGAGCTGAATCATTGAAAGACAGGTTAGCCTCCACTTTGGTCGTGGTTGTATAGACCACAAATTTACTCTACGTCATGTGTTAGGGCACAGACACACCTACAGACGACCAACTATGGTGGATTTCGTTGACTTGAAAGCTGATTTCGACTCTGTTGATCGAGCCGGCTTGTGAAGGGGTGCCTGTGAAGCTCCTTGAAATACTTTAGTCTCTCTACCATGACTCCCGAAGCCGCGTAAGGGTCTGCGGGAAACTGTCTCTTGAGTTCCCCACGACAAGTGGGGTTCACCAGGGTTGCCCCATTTCACCTCCGGAGTGAAAGTTCTCCTAGGTGACCAAATGACAAACCTTGAGTATGCAGACGACATAGCCCCTCTAACTGCTTATGCACTGGCTATGCAAACACTACTGAAAAGACGTGCGTAGCGCTGCACGCTTCGGCATGTACTTTGCATCTTCAAAGTGCAAAGTGCTGTTGCAGGACGGGGCCGACACGCCTCTGGCTCTAGCTATCAATGAACAGCCACTGGAAGTGGTGGATCGGTTCACTTATCTTGGTAGCTGTGTCACCTCTGGTGGTCACGTCACTGAAGAGGTTACTTCGTGTATCATCAAGGACCGTGTGGCTTTTCAGAGGCTCAACCATCCATAGAGACGGCGGGATATCAGCCTGTCAGTGAAAGGTAGGGTGTATAACGCTGTGATAAGATTGGTGTTACTGGTGTCACAGTGAAGACATAAAACGCTTGGCAGCGTTTGACTACCGGTGCTTGCGAAGTATTGATCACGAATGGTTGGAACACCGAGTGAGCAATGCTGAGGTCCTCCAGTTGGTTTTTGACAAGAGGCGTTCTAGTGCCTCACTCGGGCATTTGCTGAATCTTAGTCGCTTGTATTGGCTAGGCGATGTCCTCCGGATGCCAGTTTACCGGCTTTCTCGGCATGCGTTATACGCTACGGGTGCAAATAGATGAAACCGCGAGGTGACCAGTCCATGACGTGGCATAATGGCTTAAAGAAAATTGACTGAGAGATTTGGTCAGGCTGATGCTTGCCGTCTTCCTGGATGGGGGCCTCGAGATAGTCCACATCAATGGTTGGAGACCGTTTCACAGATGGTGCAGTCAGTGGCGTTCCTGCATTCGGTTTCCCGCATCTGGTTGTTAATTTTCATCCCATTCTGCTTAGGTTAACGCACTTTCTTCTTCCATTTTCTTTTCTTTCAACCCCACTATGTTGATGTTGTGATTTACTGTTATTGTTGCGATGTGAGTCGTGGCAACTGGATCCACCGTGCTTCGATGCTTGAATCATAATTGTTCAACTAAAATGAGCATTTGTGACAAGCCACCGAGCGAGCACGTGCCAACTCATGCTACTTGGGTCGCGATGGATTTAGAGAATGTACCGAATGGCGTTTGCCAAAGTCCATTGCTATCAAATAGTGCCATTCGCACATGAGCACCGTCAAGCCAGCTGAGATTCCCATAAGCGATTGTGCACCAAAGGCTAGTAGATTCCTACTCATTTGTCCACAGATTCAAAGTCGTCCGAGTGGCTGTGTGCCACGAGTGAATAGTGCATGTTGTAGTCGTAACAGCTTTATGGATGGCAGTTTCTCCGGTCGAAGGAAACGACAACCACAACGCGCACGACGCACGCTGCCGTGAAAGCAGAGTGCATGTATTTCAATGTGCCAACTCGTATGTCGCTAGAAAGTCATAGTAGTGAAGGTAATGTGAGTCTCAGTGAAGAGTGAGTGACATTCGATTTCAGCACAGCACGAATCAACTGAACGGTAGAGCGTCGTCGAGTGGTTGATTGATAAAGCCTGTTTTATCCCAAGCAATATAGTTACTCCACGCTATGCGACTAGAATATAGAGAACATTATGGATCTTTTAGCAATAGAACCATCCCTGATAATATGATCCCTTTGTCATACGTCTAGATTATAAGGTGGATGACTAAATAAAATTTAATTGGAAATACTCAATCATTCCGGGGAAGGCGTTTCTCATAAAACGGAGAATATTTGTCCAAAAAGTTATTAATGTCAACAGTTTACAAGGAAAGGCGAATAACATTCACTTACAGTAAAAGGGCCTTTGTCTTGAAGGAAGGGTCACTTGGCCGATAGTTCTTATACTCCTCCACCTCTTTTTCCACAGCGAGCATCTGCGACTGCAGCTTGTTTCGTAGCCCAGGCAGAGTATCTCGAATGTGATTAGTGAGCTGTTGATTGAGAGTGCTTTGTAAAAACGGAGTGCCCATGCGATCCGCCATGTGTCGGTAGGAAGTGTGGCTGAGGAAGAATTTACGCTCCGCGGCCAGGGCAGCCTTGATATCTTTGTGGCCATCGATATCGCGCTGACTGCGATTCACTACGCCAATGTAACCTGATAAAAAGATAGCACAGGGTAGAAAGTAAGGGACATTAAAAACAGTAAGAATCGTATCCGTGTCGCTAGAGGTGCTACGCAATTAGAAGCAATTCCGTCCGGAAGTGAGCAGAGTACACTGCACAGACTGTGATGAGCAGATAACGATCAACGACTGTGCATAAAGTGCATGGGAACACGTCGTTGACTAGTGCTTGTCCATCTCGCCTGCAGTCATCGTATGACAAGCGTTATTAGCAAGTGCACACAGCTGGTTTGCTCGAGAACCCCTGATTGAATACCACTCAGTATGTAGTGCACCTACGCGACGAGCATCTGAAATGAGTACGTCTTTGTTGTCCGTTTGTTAGTACACTTGCTTCATACTAGATATGAAGGATATAAAATTTCGGATATATAGAATGGTAGAACTTGGCTTTTTCAGTGGAATGAAAACAAAGCAGATGAACATGGGATCGACCATTGCTCTTGGCAATTGTTACACGGCGCCCATGCTTATTGTTTGACGGAAATGGAGACTATAATTAAAAGCGTCGTAGGGGCAGGGAAACCCGTGGGCAAATCGAACGGAGACACAGTGACTGGTTGTAGATAATAATCTTCCCTTTGAAGTCACGTTTCGACAATCTGATACACCATAACATACGCTAGCAGGCGATCATCTGTTGCTTCGCCAACTCTGGTAAATCATTCGGTGTCCCGAGTGAAGAAAACCACAAGAGATACTAATTTTAGACATACTGATCCAGTTGGACGCTCCTGGGCACTTGTGCCACGGAACGAACATGGAAAGAAGGAGTAAAGGGGTGGAGAAAACACAATCACCACCATCACAGACCACAACACTTGAACCGGCAGTCCGATGCTATACAACTGTAAATTAACCGAGACGACTAGACCAATGAAGAATAAGAAGTGAAGATCTGATATAGGAACTAAACGCATCGGGCAAACAGTAGATGAAAACGCCAGCAGTTTGGCCGTTACACAAAGTC